TATACGTTGCCCAGGGTGCACCACGTGGAGGTAAGTCTATTTCACACCCCATACTAAAATGGTTAAGAAGTTTGTTAATGTTATGACAATTCGTTACCTTGGCGCAAATTGAATAATGATATTCTGTTCAGGGCTAAAAAGTTAGGCCTTTCGCAGTGCATTCGACTGCTCTTCTCTGACTCATTTCTTCTTTAAAGTCTATTTCACAAAAAAAGGCAAAAATTGATTGGCAAAACGATGTAGATTATTAGATCAAGCCATAACTTTTGGTGACTATTTGCAATTCATTAGCTTATTACAATTATTGGTAAAGAAAATAGGATACGTTTTATCAATAAATAAGATCTTCCTCTTTTTTACTCTGCAATCACTTTAAATTCCAAATTTAAACCAACATTGTCCATTGCGTTTTCTGGATCTCAAACACCAATATTTAAAAGCAGAATCATATGGAGTCTGAAAATCACAAAAGATTTCATTGGTCAGTGACATAACTAACATAATTGGCATTTCAAATATATTTAAAAGAAAATGAAGCCGTCTATCTTTTATTTCATAGTTTGTACTCTATAATTTCGAAATTTAAATATTCTCTTTCTTTTATAATCGTAATGAAATGAATATCTGTTAAATTTTTTAATAGAGACTTCCAAATGGGTTGCTTTTCCGGATTGTTGCGACTTTTCCTTGTAATTTTGAATGCTGTGCTTTTGGTAAGTTAAAAAAATTTTTCTTCAATTATTTTCTCTTTTTTTGTTCATTTGTAATTCGATTTGTAGGTTGCCTTTGCAGCACTGGCAGTAATGGGAATGTTAATTAGGTTCAATGAATCCTACTTAATGGGCTTGCTCTCAAAAGTAGTCGAAAAGTGGCCTGTCAGATTCCTCCATGATCTTATTATCTTAATCCAAAACTTTGGAGGTTGGTTGGAACATCATATAGTACTCGCACTTTATGAGTAGATTATAAGCAAGACTATTCATCATTTTAGGCCCCGTCTCCATTGCGCTAATTGCAATTGGCATCTTTGTGGCTATCATTGCTATAATGGGAATAATGGCATTGTTGTGCAAAGCGAAATGTCTTGCAAAAATAGTAAGGTCAAATAACTTGTTTTTTTAGATAAATAGTTTCTCCAACTACACTAAATTTTTCCCCTTTTTAGTACCTCATAGGTATTGCTCTACTCAGCGTTGCTGAGCTTGCTATGATTATATACGTCTTTGCTATTCCTGGAAATGTAAGCACAGTTTTTTCTCTTTACTCATGTTAATGTATTAAGCAAAAGAACAATATAGTCTTCTATTTTTACAGATGGATAAGGTCGTTGAAAAGCTTCTTAAGAAAACGCTTCAAGTGTATGGCGAAGACAGTAATATCGGACAGGCATCAGTAAGCCTTTGGGAGATGATCGGCTCGGTAAGATAAATCCTTTTCCAATCACAGTCTTGATAGTCTAAAGTAGGTGAAAAATAGTACAAATTTATTTTTTAGGGCCCGCCAAAATCGTGCTGTGGTTTGAGTGGGTATGAAGATTTTAAGGGTAAGTTGATGCTCTTCTATGGCCTGTAATCTTAAAATTAAATTTACTTAAACGCATATTTTTCCAGATGGTAAAGATTTACCATCATCGTGTTGTGAAAACACGTCAAATTCGCCTCCACAAAGCACAAAATGCACCTACACTGAAGCCAAAGGAAAAAATGTTGATGGTTGTAAAGATAAGATTGAAAGTTATGTTAAAGAAAACAAAACGCCTTTCATCGCCGTTCCTTGCGGCCTCTTTGCTTTCCAGGTAAGATCAAATTTATAATTACAATTTTTAAAAATTCTGCAATTAACTTAACAACTTTATTTGATTTTCTTTTGTCCTTCAAGGTGATCGTTTTGATTATTATGTTTGGTCTATGCAAACGTTGGAACCGATATGATTAAATTTTTAAAAAGTGAGAATACGGAAATATCGACTGATTTCATCTATCTTTTTTAATACAACTAACTTCGTTTTCATATAACTCCACCATATGTATGATAAACTGTCAATATACATAACCGTTTCTCTTATAATAAAATACATTTATATTTTTCAACCTGCTTATATTTTTTGATAGTTGAGATTTCACAACAATAAAGTATCAATAATTTATTTTTCATGTACTATCAAAAACTACAATCAACTTTCATCTGATATCCCAGAAGTTATCCTGAGTCGATCAATTCCATTTGAATATTTGTCTACCAATAAGATAACGATCATAATTAAATGATTGATGTTAATAAGATCATCATTTAAGTTTTGCAAAAATCAAGAATTTTATTTGTTCTGCAATGCATATACTAATCCTAAAAATAATATCTACGCAGTATTTGTATAGACTGAATGATTGGTTGGGGTGAAAACGTAAACAGTGATTAAACTACATGTCATTATGAATAAATCAATCAGTTAACTCTAATTGAAGTAATTATAATTACCAAAGTCAACACAAAAGGTCCCCGCAAACTATGCTTAGGGATGAAATTATAACACGCGCAATAGTGTTGCAGTGACTCAAAAAGTTGTTTAACATGAATGGTTTAAAACGAGGAAGCATTAAGTTGGACCCTATTTCCAATTTTAATTTTCAGGTACCCAAAGCGAATCATTATTGATTCGTTTATTGCTCTCCTGGATAACTTATTCATCAGTGTCATTTGGTGGGGATAAGCCGGTTAGTGGGATTTGTGGATTGCAAAATTAGATTAAGCAACTTCACACTCGCTCAAACATTCGGGAACGTGCGATCTTGATGCGATCAAGAAGAAAGTGAGGTCATGAGAGCAGAGACCTCTGGACGAACTAATAACCAATAATCACCACAAGGTTACTATAATCCAACCGTATTTAAGTATTGAGCAGTATATCATCATCCACTCAATCCAACATTCACATGGCCACGTAGACAATACCGGGAGCCATTCCAAACTAGAAGATCTTGTTATTGATCTTGTTAAAGAAATATAGATTTTAATCGAAGTGTACATAATTGGCCTTAAAGCAAAATATTCACTTTAATAAGTGCTATCTAAGATGATAAATCTAATAACTTCACGTTTTTGAGATGGCATATATTGAATTTAGAGAAAATTCATTTAACAAATTGTGTTTTGTAATCTTATGTTCATTAGAATTTGTCAAATATGTATTACTTAAAAGTAGTTAAAAATATTTCGAATTATATTGATGATAAATTACTTTGCGTCCATTTTGCATCTTCGAAACACTCATCTGTCCCCCCTCCCTCCCTCTCGAATTTTTTTCACTTTGATATTTCTTCTCTGTGAGGCCTGAAGTAACCCAAAGGGCTAATGAAACTATCAAAATGCCTGCCATTATATATAAAAAAATAAACTTTGCGTCAGTTTAAATTCCTTTACCAAATGCTTCAATGATGAATGCAAATTTAACTAATTTCGATGAGATTATTACGGAAAGCTCACAAAGAGCACGTGTCGAGTGCCATTTTAAGTGACAAATCTAATTTAAGAAAAAAGAAATTATTCGAAAACCAGAAACGCCTTATCCCATGAACCTATAAAATCTTAAAGCCGATATCCAAAATCGGAAATAAATCTACACAGTGGATATAAGTTATAAATCAGATAAGGTTGTATATGTTCATAAAACGAGTGTTCCTTCAAAAAGCTGACATGATTCAGGGGCAAATTCTAAATTCAAAACTAAGAGTTTTAAGATCGAGAAAAAGCAAACACATTCCCACAAAGAATTAAAAAATACAAAAGGCATCGTGGGAGAGATAAAAAATATTCTACTGAATGTTTTTTTTTGAGACTCAAGCTGCTTGTTTGAAACCAACGCGTGATCTTTCAACCAGTGAGAAAATTGCTTGCACTGAAATGTAAAATCAATACCACTCAAGACCTACTACTAATTGAATAGTGAAAACCAATACACATGAAAAATTAGTATTTTAACCTCTATTAAATAAAGTAGAAAATAGTATTTTCAAAAAACTATAGTTTCTGTTAGTCAATCAAGTTCGCTTAATTATCTCCTTCAAATGTTTTCGTGTACATCTTATTCAAAATCAACTTTCACTCGGCATTACGTTGTACAATGAAACTGTTAATTCAATATATTAATATTATTTAATTTAATATACACATATATAAACACATGGAAGTCATTTCTTTAACGTTTTGGAAATAAATTTTGAGATAAATGCCAGTCAGTAAAATGAGAAATGTTCTTTGTAGTCACATTATTGATCGGTTTTAGTCTAGATTGTTTTGCATAAAATTTCGATTTAATTAAGAAACTTTTCATCATCAATATCACGCTAGTTAGTATCTCAAAATGTAGTGAAGTAAATTGCAAACATAAGGTCAAACGATATTCATTGCAACTCTAATATGGTTTGTGCTATCTTTGGCATTTAAAATTCGAAAATTGATGAAAGTTCGCAAAATCATACGTTGGGTTATAGTTAACGATATAATTCAATCGATCTCATTCATAAAGTGTATATGATCTGATATGCCTTTATGAGGACTGTCTAAAATTCAAAATTCTAATAACTGAGATATGAAAGAAGTTATTTGTGAACATCGAAATCATACAAACTTCCTCTTTCTCCATACACAACTCCATTGCTTACCAACCATTATTCCCAGTTGTAGAACCAAAACCATATAATTAGCATATTCAGTAAATCGCCACTCAAAATTTTCCCAAAACAGTCTGTATTTGACAAACATCAACTGCCGTCATTTTATTTTGGCGAACAATTGACGTCAAACATTTTAAACCCCTAATCTTTGCTCAAATAGCATCTTTATCAAAATCTGCGTCGATCTTTCTGGGAACTAGCTTTTTCGCCTACTTTCGGTGCAGTGATTAGGCTTACCTCCAGCTTCATTTTTGTTAATCAATTAATTGTTGACGATTCGTCACATTTTATTTTGCCCACAGGGGCGTGCGATAGACTCACCTCCACGTGGTGCACCCTGGTCAACGTATACTCATACGGCAAAATGTCTATTAACCGGCATTCGACTTCTGACTTCAAACTACCACGACCCCCCTGGTTGTCATATTCGACCCCTTCTACAGTACTCACCTTACCTTTTTCTCTACCTTTGTGTCTGTCTGCCTCTTTTACATCTTTAAATCGCTTTTCTGTTCCCCACCCCTCGACTTTCTACTACTTTGATGAACCTTCAATCTGTGAAGCCCGAAGTCAACTAAATGGCTAATGATATCTATCACAACGCCTGCCATTTGAAATAAATAAATATTTTGCCCACAGTCGATGTCATAGTCATTTCACGTTT